TAACTAGCATTTATGTAGTACCTTAAAGTTTGCAAAGCCCTTTACAAATATATAATTTGATGCTCACAACAACCCTAATAAGGCAGGTGCTATTATTACCTCCATTTTATAGATGGGGAAACTGAGCCTGAGAGGTTAAGTAATTTGTCCAGGTTGTGTCTGAGGCAAGATTTGAACTCAGGTCTTCCTGATTCCAAGTCCAGCCCTCTATCCAATATTCTCACCTAGGGACCTAGCACTGTTCTCTTCTACCAATTAAGTAATACTCATCAGAAAAGGAAAAATGATTAGCCTGGTATGACTTACTCTACATGAAGCTAGATGACTTTTTCTAGATGTTCATTAAACATCTCTTTAAAAAGGTGATCCGTTCCAAATTTTTTCCAAGAAACTGAAGACAGGCTCACCGGTTTATTAATTTACAGATCCTATTCACTTCCACTTTATTTGAAAATTGTACATTTTGCCCTTTTCCAGTCCTGTGGTGTCTCTACCTGTCCTTCATGTTTTTTGAAATATCACTGACAAGTGATCTCAACTACCAAGTTCTTCAGTACCCAAGGCTATTAACTCATCTGAGCCAGGTAACCTGAATTCACCCAAGACACTATGTGAGCCCTTGCAATATTCTTACTTATCCTGAACATCAAACCCACAGCTATGTTATGCCATTTCTACTGTAAAGACCATCCATTCTCCTTGGTAGAAAAAAGAGAAACAAATTCAGAACCAAGCAGCAACTGTACCCACTTCTCCTGTCAAATCATTATCACCTCTTGATGACAAAGATCCCCATATCAGTGAGCAAAGGCATATACAATGGAATCTGATGAAAAATGCACTGCAAAATGTGTTTTAGTATCAAGTGATGAAAGAAGCAAGAGATTTGTACCTCAGACAGAAAGAAGCCTCACATCTAGGCCATGAAAGTATTTTTCAATAAGAGAGCTAGAGAAGTAACAAGGATATGTTTCCTGTCTCTTTTCAAATACTGGACAAGACAGAGGAATATGAAGCAGGCAAGAATCCATGGTAAGAGTTTGAGTCATTCAATGGCCTTGCCACCATGATTCAAAAAGGATTAATTTTAATTCATGGAGCATTTATTAAATGGCTATTCCTTGAAAGGAATAAGCTTTGCAGAATCCTAGGCTTGGACGAAGTACTTGAAAATATTGTTTGTTTTAATATATTTGCAGTATTTTTTTCAAAACCAAGTCCTAAATGTGCAGCAGTAGCAATTATATTTCTGCAATAAACTTGGATCTAAGATTTTTAGCAATTTCTAAATTATTTTCATCTTTTCCTTTACTTTCTTCTGTAAGAAGAAATACAATTCAAGAAATACAGTCTCAAAAATTACAAAGAATGTCTGACAAAAGAGCACTATTTTATTCAAACATAGTGACTGATCCAGAAAATGACTTTAAAAAATCTTCATGGAGTTCTATAGCAGAACTCAAGATACCCTCCATCAAACATTCTTTAAACTTCTAGATTTTACTTGTATCTTGAAGAGCTTTTTAAATTTGTTAGGTTCTCAAAAAACCATTAACCTATACTGAATGAATGAATGATTTGTTAATTACTTATTATGTGCAAAGTACTGTGCTAAGGGGTGCTATGTGCTATGCTCTCCAGAAGCTCACACTCTAAATGGAGAGACCACACATACAGAAACTTCAGCTATATCAGATAGAAAAGTTCCATGGTACTCAGGGTACAGTCGTAAAGCAGATGATCTCCTTTGATGTTATTTTTGCTAATGGAAATAACATGCCTCATGCTTCTTCTTTAACGTTATTTCCACCAATAAAATTATAGCAGTTTCAGCATTTGACAATGTCAAGGACGTTGGTGGCAAAATTTTTATTTATCCACTTGCAATGAATTTTCACTGTTACTATTTTATTTTTCTTCTGGTCTTCACATTTCTAGAACTAGAGCTTCCATGGGGTTTTATAGGTTTCTGGAGCTGTAAGAATGATGATTGGGACCTTGAAGAATGGGTACAATTTAAATCTGAAGGAGAAAAGGCATTCTAGATGAGGAACTATATAGGAATGAATATCATACATTAAGTAGACACATCTCCTGACAAAAATGATAAAACGGGCAAAATGAATAGGTCCAGAAAACAAGTTTTAGAAGGGTCTCTCTTCTAAGAAAGATATAAAAACATCCCAAACAACTAGAGCCTTTACACTGGACTAATGAGGAAAAGGTCATACAGTGAAATATTAATAGAAATTAAGAGGAATACAATTACTACTTCTATGACTACAACTACAACTAGCTAGCAGTGATGTAATGCTTTATGGCTTGCTAAATTTTTTTTTACAAATATCTCATTTGATACTCACAACAATCCTGAGAGGAAAGTGCTGTTATTATCATCCTTAGTTTACAGGATGAGGAAACTGAGGCTGACAGACTCGCCTGGGGATCACACAGTTAATAGGTGTTCAAGACCGGCTTTGAACTCAGGCTTTCTTGATGCCACAGTCAGTTCTTTATTTACTAGATTAAGACATCTGAAACTTTTAAATGTATGAATCTGTACATGGTTTTAAACACAGACTACATGTTAAATTTAGCTTTCACAGTGTAGTCATCTTTTCTATTTTGTAGACTTCGGCAGAGGATAGAAAAGCATAGTAAACATGTGTCTCAGCAGTCCTTCTCACCTATTCAATGCTTGTTATATGCAATGACATTCTTAGAATACAGGATCACCTGGACTTCCTTTAATAACAAACCTTCTTAGCTCCTTCTTTTCCTTTCTTGCCCACTTAGCCCCAAAGCAATCTACTTTTCCCAAGAGAAAACCTCAATCCAGAAATAGTATTTCCAAACCTACTGTAAGATGGACAACTCTACCATGTACAAAGCTATCCCTCTCCCCATTTTCTAGTACAATCTGACTCTTCCCTTTCACACAGAGCTCCACTCCTAAGGTTTGATCATTCCTTTGGCCAAAAAGGTATTTTGCAGCTGTCTGTCACTCACACCCACCCTATCTCTGAGATATAATCTGCTGCATTAATACTCAGAATACCCATCTCCATAGCCCCGAAGAAATCTGTTTTATAGAACAATTCCTTTCCATCCAACATGATAACTGTTATGCTATGTTTTTTTGTGCAAATAGCCAAGGAACAAAGGATAGTTAATACTGAATACTGAAGTATGATGTACGGATCCACAAAACAGCAAATAATGGCAAACTACAGATGCAAAGAGAGAAATGAAGTAATTTTCCCAACTCTACTATTTACGTGTTTTTTCATCTGAAAATGAGCAAAATGAAACAGATAATCGCTAAAGTTTCTTCTGGTTCTAAGTGTATAATTATTCTATTCCTCTCTATTCCTCCTATGCTAAAGATTCCAGTGTCTATGATAATCTAGCAAGATATTTACATTCTGAGAAGCCAAAGGGGGAAATAATGGGCTGTTCTATAGAGATTTTATATACCCTCATTCCCATTAAAGTTAATTCAAGCCATAAAGTGAATATTATGTGTAAGGCAATAATGCCAGGTGCAAAGGATACAAAGATGAGAAGAATTCCAGACTCTACCCTTGAAGAGCTTACAATTTAGATGATAAAGGTATAAGAAATGTATACAAGTAAAAAAATGAATAAGATTAGAGGGAACAAATGAAACGGCAAGAGTGATTCTAAGATGAAGTGATGCTGGGTGAAGTGAGCAGAACCAGGAGAACATTGTACACAGTAACAGCAACACTGTGCAATGATCAACTTCGTGTTCTCTTCTCAACAATACAATGATCTAAGAGACAATTCCAAAAGACTCACTAAGAAAAATGCTATCCATATCCAGAGAAAGAACTATGGAGTCTGAATGCAGATCAAAGAATACTATTCTCTCTCTCGGGTTTCCCCTTTTGTTCTGATTCTTCTTTTACAACATGACTAACGTTGAAATATAGTGCTTTAAGGATATGTACACCCCTTTACCTCTTGTAAAGGGGAACGATGTAAAATAATACTGAGAAGGTGGCCAGTGTTATAGTAAAGATTTAGTAAAGGTATTAATCTCAAGATAAGAACTTTACATTTTATTGGGTAGCAACAGAAAGCTACTGGAGTTTGTTTGGGTTTTTTTTGAGTAGAAGAGGAACACAGAAGGCCTACTGATACAACAGTAAGACCATAGTGAGAAGTCAGAAAGAATAAACATTTTGGAGCATTCAGAGCTGTTTTGTGACTTCCTCCAACAGTGCAGTTAGATTCAATACAAACTGCAGAGAAGTCAGATGGCAGAGATTATTAGCACTAGCATAGTATGTCAAAGAGGCAAGAGATTCAAGAACAGATAATGAAGGACAACAGTGAAATAGCTATATAAAACTGTAAGGAGTTGGAAGTAAAATCAGGACAAGGTTTTGAACTGCCAACAGGGAGAAATTAAGGAACTAGAGGTTTTTGATGACAGCAAGGATGAGTTTCAAAAGAGGGTATAGTAAAAGTGGAAGGGGCAGGAGGTTGGGGTCAAAAGAGGGAAATCTCAAAGTTGATACTTTTGGAAACTGAACTGTTGAAAGATAATGAGGCTAACTTAAGAACACCTTTAACCTATATCAAAGGGGTAAGAAACTCAAGAGGAAAAGGTGTAAGAAGTATCAGTAATGTGGATACTTAATCTCTTAGGATAATTAAAGAGAAAGGGAGTAGAAAAGACCAAAACCCAAGTGCCAACATCACTGAATGAGATGGGAGAGTGTCTTGAAGATCAGTAAATAGTTAAGATAAGAATAGGAAGGAAGGTAATAGATTATCAATGACTACTCAAACTCAAAAGGGGTGAGACTCCTGAGTGAGGCTGGCAGACCAAGGTCTTAGAAGTTATAGTTGTGATTGAAGAATATGTTGACTACTCATCCTAATCCTGGGTTTAAGCATGGTCTATAAAAATTGCCTTTAAAAAAATGTGAATTCACAATTAACCTTAACTAGCTATATGCTACACCCACCTTTTAGGATTCTTGCTATGTGATCGGGACCTGGGAGAAAAAGAAAAAAGCTGTTTTTAGGCTACAGACCATAAATAAGAATAAACAGTAAAATATGACATTACAAATTAACAACTAATTTCTCACACCAAAAGAAACCCCAGGGTTCTGATCTGACACACACTGGAATTTCTATTACAAGCTCTATCACCCAGGGATATAAATGTTCTTCTGGAAGTCCATGAGATCACCTAAAGATCTAACTACCTTAAGATTGACTCACTCAGGTATTCTTCCTTCAAATTCCACTGACACACAGGAATAAAAAGGGGAATCCCATCTATTTCCTTCATCTTCCTTTGAATTACAGTGAATTTGAGTTAAAATCTATTTTAACAGCATGCTTATGAAGTTATTTTTAATAAAAGCCAGAGAAAATTTAAGAGTCCCAAATTTGAGTCCAAAAGAGACTCCCATAAAGCAAAAAAAATTCTATCAATCAGTCCAAATTTATTGGCCCTTATAAAAATTATAGGGATGTAACCAGCCACTGTCCAAAAAAAAAAAAAAGATGCTCACTTTGCTCATTATTTCTTCATCTCAAAAGATATTAAATTTTTAAGAAGCTAAATGACCAACTAATTATATACTTGCATTAAAAAATGATTGAGCACAATACATGGCATATTTAAAGAAGTAAAATACCCTCTAGTGGATCTACAGAAACAATACTTCTTGATACCTTCATAACTTTTTTGATTTTTTTTAAAAAGACTGAGTATTACTCTATCTTACCATGAATGGAAATGCAGAGACTAGTCACAGGCCCAGTCTCAATCCTGACAGGCTATGAATAGGAACTTTGACCTGCTTCATTTCTGACTTGGGCTGGTTCCCTCCTCCTGAGGCAACCCGGTGGCCTCTAACTCCCACATCAATGCTCACCATATTAATGCTGAACTTAACTTGGACAACAAATCAGCTCAACCCACAGGAGGTCAGAACTCCCAAGCTCAAAAGATATACTAGTGCCAGACTCCCAAATAGTTGGCATTAGGAGTTCACTATCACACCCAACTCACATGCTTTACAGAAACAAAAAACTTGAAGTTAGTAACAATCAAATTAAAATATTTAGCAGGATCTATACCTTCTCAACTTCTCCCTTTCTTCTCTCTCTCTTTCTTCTCTGCGCTTCAGGCGTTCTTGATTTCTTTTTTCTTGCTTCTCAGCTACAACTCTCTAGAAAAATAAATACTTGTTTAAGCAATGATGATTATAAACCAATTTTAGTTCGATGCATTTTTTCCAAAATAAATTTTTTTGCTGTCTTTTTTGTTTTTACTTCACCAGCATTTCTTATTCTATCTCTTCCTCCACCCCCTCCCAGAGAACTTATCCCTTACAAGAATCAAAGAAGATGTGATTTAGCAAAACTAACCAATACATTGAAAAAGTTTGACATCATATACAAGAGTGTATTCTTAACCTGCTCCACTGAATCATCTATTTTATCTTTTATTTCCAATGTGAAGCAAATCCTGTAAAAATGAATTCCAACACTATCCAAATACTTTACATTAGAATTTGGTTGTAAAAATATTGTTTTACATTTTTTGGACATGGCCAATGTGAGAATTTGTAATGCTTGACTGGAGATTTGTTAACAAGAGTTGTGTTTTTCTCCTTGTATTTTGGAAGGGGTAGGAGAAAGAGATGGAAAGGAGGAAAAATATAAATGCTTGATGAATGAAACAAAATTTAATTAAAAAAATAATATTCTTTTAAATAAATATGACATAACAACAATAGCTAAAATTTATACATTACTTTAAAGTTTGCAAATTACTTATCGTATTTTATCCTTACAACAACCCTGGGAAGTGGTGCTATTATTATCCCTCTTTTATAGATGGAGGAAATGAGGTTGACAAAGGTTAAGTGATTTGCCCAGGGTTATACAGCTAGTTAGTGTCTGAGGTGGGATTTGAACTCAGGTTTCCTAACTCCAACACTATTCACTACACCACCTAACTACCTCTCTATATATCATCTACTGAAGATTAGAAAAGAAATCTTTTTCACAGAATCACTCAGAATTAAAAGAGTCATTAAGAGGCCACCCACACTAAGCTCCCATTGAATGGAAAAGTGCCTTCTGTAATTCACATGCTGACTACATATAAGGCCAGTATTAGGCACTGGGCATACAGAGATATAACACAAGTCCTACTCTCAAGGAGTTTACAATCTAACCCTGAGGAAAACACTCTGAAGCAATTAACTATAAAACCAAGTAGAACTATGGTACAAGGACAGTGCTATGAGAATCATGAACCTTATGAAAATAAAAACTTCTTTCTAAAACTCCTACTTTCCCTGGCTTTCTTCAAGTCCTAGTTAAAATCCTACCTTATATAGGAAGTCTTTACTGATTGCCTTTAATTCAAGTGCCTTTCTCCTCTGTTGATTATCTCTAATTTATCCTGTATATAGCTTGTCTGCACAAAGTTTTTTTTCCTTTCCATTTTGTCTTCCACATTAAACTGTGAGAACCTTGAAAGCTGGGACTGTCTTCTGTCTTTCTTTGTATCCCCAGTGTTTAACACAATTCCTGGCACACAGTAGGCACTTAATATATGTTTACTGACTGGCATTCTATTGATTCAGAGACTTTAGAAGAAAAAAGAAAAACTGTATGTAAAGACTGTTATAACCAAAGTACCTTTAGCTCTTCAAGTTTCTCTCTTATTTCAATAAATCCCAGGTGTAGTTTCCCCCCAAAATGATCAGCTAGTCGCCTGTCATTGTCATGAAGACCCAAATAAGCAGAGCATACTTCACAGACCCGAAGTTTCTGTTGTTGGAAGCTGGAGGCTGGCATGGAATTCCGGTAGACTTCCTGAATGATGAAAATAATGAGCAGTCATGTAAATATCAATACAAAACAAGAAATGAAAAAATTAAATGTAACACTTTTTTAGATGTCTTAGAAATTAACCATGTTTAAGCTTGAATTGTTTACATTCCTGCATGGAAAGATGATATTTGTAACTCATGAGATCTTTGTCAGTATTAGGGTAGTGGGAGGGAAAAAATTATATGTATATAGATAGATGGCACAGGGTGAGTTGAAGATAAAGGGGTGATATCTGGAGAATAAAATTAAGGGATGAGAGAGGATTATACTGCGAGAAGGAGAAAGGGAGAGGTAGAATGGGGTAAATTATCTCACATAAAACAGACAAGAAAAGGCTTTTACAGTGGAGGGGAAAAGGGAGAAAGTGACAGGGAATGAGTGAATCTTATTCTCATCGGATTTGGCTTAAGGAGAGAATAACATACATACTCAATTTGGTATGGAAATCTATCTAATTCTACAGGAAAACAGAGGGGGAAGGAGACAAGAGAGCAGGGGAATGACAGAGGGAAGAGCAGACTGGAGGAAGGGGTAATCAGAAGCAAACATTTCTGAGGAGGGACAAGGTCAAATGAGAGAATAGAATACATGGGGGGGCGGGATAGGATGAAGGGAAATATACTTAGTTTTTCACACTATGACTACTATAGAGGTGTTTTGCATGACTATACATATATAACCTGTATTGAGCTGCTTGCCTTTTCAAGGAGGGTGGGTGGGAAGCGAGGAAGAGAGAGAATTTGGAACCCAAAGTTTTAAAAACACATGTTAAAAAAATTGTTTTCAATACAACTGGAAAATAAGAAATACAGGAAATGGGGTATAGAAATCTATCCTGCCCTACAGGAAAATAGAAGGGGAAGGAGGGGAGAAATAAAAAGGAGGGCAGATTAGGGGAAAGGGTATTCAGAACGCATGCCATCTTGGGGTGGGGGTGAGGGGATGAGATGGGGAGATAATCTGAAACTCAAAATCTTGTGGAAGTGAATGTTGAACACTAAAAGAAATTTTTTAAAAAAGAAATTAACCATGTTGACACCCATTATTGTCAAGCAAAAATATTTTCACAAATAACATAACAAAAACGATCATTTGTCTTGAAAACATTTTGCCTCTTTGCAATACATACCTTCTTAATTTTGAGGAAATCTAAAATATCTCATATATCTTTCCCCACTTCCATGAAATGGTATTGTTAAAATGGACAAGGGAATAATAGTACTTAACATTTACATTCAAGAGAAATGAAGATAATAAAATTTAAAGGACCTGCTTAATGAAAATCTGGGTAATGTTAAGTTTTTGTGGGTGGGTGAAAATTAAAGCACTGCCTTTGGGGCTTGCATTTACGTGAAAAATGAGAACAGCAAAGATCTTTAACATCTCTTCCCGCTTTGGGAATTAGTTAAGTTCAATCAAGAACTTTAAGTTCTTGTAATTTCTGGTAAGAAAACCAGTTGCTAGTGATTCCTTAGAGATTGGAGGGAGATTGGAGTACATGACCTCTAAAGTCTATTCTTAAACTAAGATTCTATGACTCTAATTAGACTGGGGTTCTTAAAATGGGATCTGTGAATTAGTTTTTTTAAAAATAATACTTTATTTTTTCCCTCAGTTATATGTAAAAATCAATTTTTAAACAAAGTTTTGAGTTCCAAATTTTATTGCTCCCCTCCCCCTTCCCTGAGACAGGTAAGCAATCTAACATAGGTTATACATGAGAAATCACGTAAAATATAGCTCCATATTAGTCATTTTATGGAAGAAAACTGAAACTAAAAAAAGAAAGAGAGAGAAAAACAAAGAAAAAAGTTTCAGTCTGTATTCAGACACTATCGGTTCTTTCTCTAAGTCTTTTGGGATTATCCTGGATCTTTGTATTGCTGAGAATAGCAAAGTCATTCATAATTATTCATTGTAAATATTGCTGTTACCATATACAATGTTCTCCTGGTTCTACTCACTTCATGCTGCATGTGAATTAGCTTTTTAAAATATTTTCATAACACTATTTTAACAAAGTTGATTTCCTTTCTAATCACATGCATTTTACTTTATGCATTTAAAAACATTATTCTGATAAGGCGTCCATGGGTTTCACCAGACTGCTAAAGGGGTCTGTGACACAAAAAAGGTGAAGCAACTCTGGTTTGGATGACCTCTAACGTCCCTTTAAAGATCCAAAAATTTAATGAATCTATTCTATTCACAGTCTACACCTGAGGTTCTCAAAATGTGGTCTTACATCTCTTGTAGCTCTCCAAAATCCTTTCAGGGGCTCACAATGTCAAAACTATTGTCATAACAAAACGAAGATGTTTTAATTTCTAATACAGTAACTGTCCATAGCCAAAATTCACACTAAAAAAAGTTCTTTGGATGTGGGAGAGAGTTTTAGAAAAACTGGGCAGACCTATAAGAACTGATGCAAAGTAAAGTGAGCAAAACTAGATCACTGTATACTGTATACACTACTGTAATTAGGAGAGACCCTGATTAATACAATGCCCCAAGACAATTCTGAAGGACTCATGATAAAAAATGCTATCTATCTCCAGAGACAGAACTGATGAACTCTGAAGTATAATTTTCTCTCTTTTTCTTGCTTTTTTTGCAGTGTGGCTAATAAGGAAACAAGTTTTACATGATTTCACATGTATAATTGATATCATATGGCTTGCCTTATCAATGGATAGGGAAGAGGATAGAAAGTGGTAGAGAATTTGGAACACAAAATAAGAAAAGAATTAAAAATAAACAAAGTTTTTAAAGGGGGAGGAAGCTCTTGAGGGGAGGGGGAAAGAAGTCCTCAATAAATTTTAAGTGTAAAGGGTTCCTAAGACCAAAAAATTTGAGAACCAAGGGTCTATCCTATATAAAATACAGTTAAACACTAAGTATATTAGTATAGAAAGAAGAATGTACTGAATGGGCAGATGTACAGTGGGGTAAAAATACTCAATGGCAGGACGTTTTTCTTTAAATATACATTGTCTGAACACTGACACGTGTAAAAATTATACTAGGTAACCAATCATATTCACAACTGCATATTGAAGAGTTAGGAAACTATGCAGTTGATAATGATCATGGCTTGTTGACAATCAGTTTATTTGGTCTTATAAAGCTTCATTTCTCAATTATCAAGTAGTAAAGAATTCTGGGAGGCAGCTAAGTGGCTCAGTGGACACAGCACTGGGCCTAGAATCAAAAAGACTTGAGTTCAAGTCTGGCCTTAGATACTTACTAGCTGTGTGACCTGGGGCAAGTCACTTAACCTGTTTGCATTAATCCACTGGAGATGGAAACAGCAAATTACTCCAGTATCTTTGTCAAGAAAACTCCATGAAAACTATTGACATACGGTCCATGAGGCACAAAGAGCTGGACATGACTGTGTAACTGAACAACAGCAAGAGGATTCTAATTTAATTCTCATCTATCTCCTAAGAGAGTAAATTGATTATAAATGGTTTTGCAATTTTAAATTTTTAAAGGAATGATGTGGTTTTTAAAAAAGACGTTCTCACATGATAATATATACTCTGAAGAATGGCTACAAAATAAAGCATTTTGAATAACTGAATATTTTTTCACAATGTTTATCTTTCCAATAAAAATCTTCTTAATATGTATCATATACTTCACTGTCCCAGAGCAAAATGAACTAATCTTTTAAAAAAAATGTTTCAGGGAGATAAAATGGTCGATTTTGAGTTATCAATGGTGATATGAAAAAATGCTCTAAATCACTAATAAGTAGAGAATGTGAATTAAAATAATTCTGAAGTTTCACCTCACACAACAACAAAGTCGAAAAAAAATGAAAAATGGCAAATTCTGATAAGCAATTTGGAAATATGCCCAAAAATCAGAGTTGAATAGGTCTATCACTCAAGGAGATCAGAGAGAAAAAATGGACCCATTTGTGAAAAAATATTTATAGCAGCTTTTTTTGTGGTGGGAAAGAATTAGAAACTGAGGGGGAACCCATCAGTGTGGGAATGGCTGAACAAGGTACAGTATATGTATATGACAGAGTACTATCATGCTATAAGAAATGTTGGTTTCAGGGAAACATGGGAAGACTTGTATGAATTGATGCAAAATGAGGTGGGTGGAACCAGAACATGTTATTTATACAATAACAGAAATATTATAAAGACAGATAACTCAGGCATAACACAATGATCAAACAATTCCAGAGGACTCAAAGATGAAATATGCTATTCATGTCATACTCATCTGGTAGAGAGTGAGTGAGTGAGTGAGTGAGAGTGTGTGTGTGTGTGTGTGTGTGTGTGTGTGTGTGTGTTGGCCAACGTAGGCATTTGTTTTGCTTGACTCTACATATAACAGTGGTTTTATTTTTCCTGCGTTCTCAATATGGGCATAGAAAATGGAGGGAAGAGAAAGAAAATATGGATTTGAAAATAAAATGCAATTTTTAAAAATTTCAAGATCATTATGATCAATCATTATATTATGTTTTGTACTATGCTATAAATATTATAGGTCCCTGGGTCAAAATTTTCAGTGACCAAGACATGCCACAGACCATGATTTCTTAGTGAGCTGCATCACTTAAGTTTTCTTATCATTTCATTGATAAAATGTTAACTCCTTTTAGTCTGGGACTTTTCACCCCCAATACATTGCAGTGTGTTTGGCACAAAGCAGGTGCTCAATAAATGCTTGTTGACTGACAAAAGTGGAGTTCATATTGCTTAAGCGTATGCCTCTTAGGCATGTAGAGCTGGGCAACCTTTGTATAAAACTGTTTAACAAAAATTCAAACAGCCTTCTCTTACACTGCTTCTTTATCTCCCAAAAAAAAGGTGCTTTTACCCTTCCCGATCAGTGTCCTTTGACTTCTGAGCAGGATTCATTACTTTATGATTTCAGAATCATAAAGCTCTTTGTTAGTTTCAGTCCATTTTCTCACTGGCATTAATTTTCCTGCCTTGCTAAGGAGGGAGTAT